ATCAAAGTGACATTCCTCGACATCGAAATTTCAAGTCAGTGAAAATCCTATTCTACACCCTACGATTTAGAATTGCAATGAAAACTCTCAATTTATAATTGAAAATGCAGATCTAATTTTTGGATTTTTTTCTGTGCATTATTTTTTCTATTTTTACTATAAAATCACTGGCTCAGGCCCCAAAATACTCAATCAATATCAATTTTACATTCGCAAATTCATAACCCAAGAAAGATAATTACAAATTAACTCATTACAAATTAAGAAAAGTAATTGCTTTTGCTCAGCAACTGGACTAATTACGAGGAGAGACATTTATTTCAACGTTTCATATTTTTATATTTTTATATTTATTCTTCCAGAACTAGATAATTAAATAAATAAACAATGTACCTGGATAACGGTCTCGGTACGAAGACGTGAATTTTACGCAGAAGTGAATCCGCCCTGGCGCGAATTTCTCTCGCTTCATCATCGAACAGCTGTTAAAAAATCCATTAAACAAATTGATAATAATAAGAAAAAAAATCATTGAAATACTAAATTAAAAAAAAATACTACGACAAAAGTATTTTCATCAGCAAAACCTCTGTCCACAAATAAAATAAATAGTGTAATCGAAATGACGCGGTTTCCGCTCGCGAAACCCTCCAACAATTATTATAATTATTATATTAATTAATAACGTGGATATTTGGTAATTGATTGGTGCATGAGATCCAACTTACGATGTTGTCCCTGGAGTTGAGGTACCTCGAGACATATGAGACGCTGGAGGGTCTAGGCAAGTCCCTTATCCTCTGGAGTTCAGCAGCAATTACACTCGGTCGTACTCGTGAGTAAATCCTAATCGGTACTGGCACTTGTCGAGTGTAATGAATAACTGGATAAGGTGTATGAATCACATGGACGAGCCTCTTGTGTCCAACATATGGAATTGTGTGGGGCAGATGATTCAGTGCCTACTTCATCAATTTTTCATAACAATTTCCCATCGATAATCCCCAGCACCGAGAGCTCATCGATTTAACTATCCATTACTCCCCCAAAATCTCTATTAATTAAACTAATTTAAACTAATGAAATTGTCATTTTTGAATCTGTAACAATTTTCAATGATCTTTTCTCTAATTATCCATGTCAAACCGATTGATTCTCTCAGTACTGGTAATTAACCATTGTTAGTTTCCCAAGCGGTTTCAATTGAACAGATTCGAGTAATCTCGGTGGAGTTGATGGAGTCATCTTGAAAAGCAGAGGAAGCAGTCGCCTTCGAAGTTTGTGGAGATTCCCTTTGGTGAATGGAGAATTTGTTAAGGATTTTGAACTCTCGGATGCATTCGACTGTGAAATATTCGTTTGAGAGGGACAGCAGGTGCTCATCATTCCTCAATACATCAGGGTTAATTTAAATTACTCCTTATTCAGGTTTAAAGCTACGGCGATGATGGCGGTGATAGCGAGCGGAAAAGCTGTCATTTTATCATTAATATGGAGAGAAATTATTTAATTAATCATTTTTTCATTCATCTGAACAGATATTTTCATTTCAACAACTACAACGCCAATAGTAACAATAATAATAAGGATTATGATCCTTTAATTATAAATAATCATTAGTCTTTTGGAGTAATTGATAAATAGTTAATTTCTCTTCATGTACCAGTGCAATGTCTTGATTAAATAAATAATTAATTAAAAGCTGACCTGCGTCTGCTGAAGTGGTGTAATCGGCCGGATGATGCCTCCAGGATTCTGTTGTTAATTTATTGAATTGCCAAGTTTACGATGAAGTAGCCAGATTGTTAATTAAAGGTGGAATAATTAAACAAAGGTCAACGAAGGCGACGGGACGGGTTGAGCGTGTAAAATAAAAAATAAAGCATTAAATTTATGTCAATATCCATTTTTTGAGCTTTGCAAAATGGTCTTTGTTTATTTATTTTCATTCTGGATTCTCATTTCAATTGATTTGAGTTCAGTTTAGGTTTAATTATAAATTATTGTGGAAATTGTCGTTTTGGAATAAAAAATTTGATAATTGAGGGGATGAGGAATGTGAAAGTAAGTGAAGAAAATATTTTTCTGCAATTGAATGGAACGCGTGTGTCTCAGTGTCGCACGTTTTATCGATCGCCTCGTATTTGTGAGGAGTTAATGGATAAATAAAACGAGTGTCTCCTCCATTTTTCTTCCGAACAAATGGCGAATTTTTCCTCAATGTGGGTGTCTACGGGCGTTTTTATTCCGGCCATGTGCCCGTGTCAATCTCAGAGCTTTTACCGTCTATTTTACCGGAAATTTTGATTTATTCTCCTTCTCCATTTCCTTCGCATTTGGGATTAATTGAGGAGAGGTCAGAGGGTGGATTTACTCTCACCCATGATTTATGGTATTACTACGTGCTATTACCGATAATCGTGGAGTTGTCAAGTGGTAATCGATTTTTATAAATGTTAATTTAATAATTAGTGGTCCTTTCACTAAAAAAAATCGTTATCAATAAATATTCATTGCTTTGAGAGTAAATGCACTCATCCACGTTTCCAAATTAAATTTCCCTCGATTTTTAAATTTGAATAATTATTTAAGGCCCGGGTGAACTATCTATCGAACGTCGACTTTTGTTTAAATTTTATCTTTTTAACCTAAAATACATTAAAATTTGGGATCAATTTTGTGTTGCGGGGAGCACTTGAATGGACATGAAAAAATAATGAAAAACAGAGGAAAAATTATTGAAGGGCGCTAAAGATCGATATTATTTAAAAGGGATTTACCAAGTTTGATAAAAAATAATAAAAAATACGCAGCTTACTATTGCATCTAGCTGTCACTCAATCTTCTGGAGAGCCATGGTAAGCCGCGTAATTTTTATTATTTTTGTGTAAACTTGGTAGATGCCTTTTAAACAATATCGCTCTTTAGCGCCCTTCAATAATTTTTCCTCTTTTTTTCATTATTTTTTTATAACCATTCGAGTAGCTCTCGCAACACAAATTTGATCCCAAATTTTAATGTGTTTAGGCTAAAAAGATAAAATTTAAACAAAAGGTCCACCCGCGCCTTAAAGTCGAAAAAAATCTATACATTTTTTAAATTGTTTATAATGAATGGAAGATTAATTGTTTAAAAACCCTGATGATTTCCGTATTTTCTTGAATCAATGAATATTTGAAAAGATCCAAGTTATGTCATTTATAGAATAATCATTTCGATTTAGATTTTGCCAAAACGTTTATTTATTAAGTCACAGAAATTGTTAGCATTCAAGATTATTGACAGTGATGAGAGTTCTATAATGTCGACGATGATCACGCTGGCACAGGAAAGGATTCTTGATTGATCGGGTGATTTTTTAGATGACATTTATGAATTTTTCATGCATCGGGGAATATCCGGGATAAAGGACCGTGTCCCATAAAAAAATTTCGAGATTATCGAATGCCTTTTTTATCGGACCATTTAATGTCCACCGACGCAGTCCAAACAAGAAATCTTTCCGAATCTTCGCTGTGCCATTTATTTAATAAAAATCATTGCACGTCCTATCACCTATGTAATTGCAGTGGGCAATTTAATTAAAATTTGTGTACTAAAATATAAAGCGGAGTTCACGAGAAAAACTGAAATCGAATTAAAAAGGCCCTTCAACCTGAGGAGACGAAAGATTTTCACTTTCATTTGTTTAATAAATTAATGCAAATCAGATAATTATCTTAAATTATTGATTTACTTTTAATGAACGCCTGAAATGTTTAAAAAATTTTTTCATTCTTTGAAACATTGAAACTCTGAATTTCATTGTAATTCAAGTTTTTCCCATTTTTTTTGCAAAAATTTAGAAAATTTACGCTCAATAATTCTTCTTCTTCAAAAAGTCAAAGTAACTTCTTCAATAAAATATTTCTCGACAGCTCGATGAATTTTATTTTAATTAAAAAAATTAATCTCCCATTCTTCCCAAATTTCCATCCAAAAATATCCATTTCACTTATTTATTTATAAATATAAATTTCAAATATTTTTTAAATAGTCAAAAAATTTCCAAAAACGCAAAACTCATTAGTATTCAATAAAATTTCAGGGATCGCTTGAAGAACAAAAGGCGCAATTTTAAAAATAAAAATGAGAGAATATAAAAATAGTGAAATCTGAACGAAAGGATAATTATAGTGAAATATTCTCTCAGGTTGTGAAGGTGATTATTGGAGATTACACGCGATAGGAGTAATGACGATAGGTAGTGCCACCAGGGAGACGACCAGAGGTGTGGCTATCGTAGGATGAGTGATAACCACCAGGACCTCCAGTTGATCGTGTGGATCTTTCAGTGGAGTATGCACCATAGGGTCCAGATTCCCGCTTGTACGTCGACTGCTCAGTGCGTGTCAGAGGTCTACCACGTGGATCAGATGACGACGATGTATTGGTGTAACTGTAGCTGTACTGCTCCTGAGCTGATCTCACACCAGCATCCGGATAGTCACGCACCACATAATGCCGAGGTGTCTAAAGACAATTATTCGACTTTGACTTTGACTTTGGTATCCGTTGAAACCCTAAAACTCATCACTATTCACCCCCAGATCATCCTCAAAGCAAATCCCTAGGGTAAGTACTTTTTTTGCCAATTGACACGATATTTTTTTGCCCATTTTTTACCTCAATGAGAGCTGCTGTTAAATTTCGATTACTTGAATCATGGGCACAAGGAATAAAAGCTTTTTGATGTTGGAAAAAGGCTCCAGCAGGAAGAATTCTTTTCTGGGATCAAGCAACTCCTCCCTTTTTCTTCCTCTTTCCCCTTTCCTCCCTTTTTCTCCCTTTTTCTCCCTTTTCTCCCTTTTCTCCCTGTAGTTGTGATAATTCTAGATTTATCTCGGAAACGAGGGATTTAGGGGAAAATGTCGAGAGATTTTCGGAAAACTTTCTTCGCTACTAAAAAAAGTACTTTATGCTGAGAGATTCATCAGAAGGTTCACCACAAATTGGGGAAAAGAGAGATTCGAATATTTTCCTTTTCTCTGAACGCTAAATTCATTAATGTAGCCAATTCTCGGAGGGAATTTTCTCAAAGTATTTTATGTTTTATTTTCTGCTAGATTAAAGTATCAATCTGCTCCTAAATCCCCAGTCAATTTCCCGAGGATTTTTCATCGAGGTCTTTATACTCTCGGAGAACCGTCTGGACTCTCCCTAGGACATAAATATCTCCAGCCCCTGACTTTTAATCTCCTCCCGAAACTTTTTATCACCCCCGAAAAATTCTCCGACAAAAAGTTCGGATATAATTCCGGACATTAATCATGATCTTCTAGGTAAATTTTTCGTCTTTTCAAACTTTATCTGAGACTGTAAAATTGAAATCCCTCTATTTCCAAAATTATCTAGCTTCCAGAATGAAAAATCTACAACACAATCTACAAGGAGAAAAGATCTCTCACTCGCGAAAAAAAAAATCACATTAACGATGACTCATTTTTTTTAATGTAAAAATATCAGAAAATAAATTATAACAAAAAATTTAAACAAAAAATTCTTCAAATTCTTCGAGTCGATTCTTCATGGATTTTAATTCCAGAAAAAAAAAGGGAAATTGCCTGAATGAAGTCAGCGTTTGGCGTAAATCAAATTGTCTTAAATTCCGTTTGCAAAATTCAATTACTCGATACTGGAATAAAAAAAATGTTTTGTGTAATGTGTGGGAGTGTTTTCAGCTTCTAAACTTTTGTCCGACTCGACACCTTGTCTTCCTCCCACCATAATAATTACATAAAATTCAATACGCTCTTATAAAATCGTAAGGCAGTGCCAAGAGCGCAAAATAATTTGATAACGGATTTAATAATAATTTATCCTTGATGAAAATATTCGGAACAATGTCGACGTGGAGTTGTTGGGCAATATTATAATTTTGGCGAGCATCCCTTGACAGGAAATTATTAACGGTGAGAGTGGGAAAGAAGGATAAATAATAAATCATCCTTGCTAAATTACTTAACAAATATTACTCGGTGTCTCATCGGCCAAATTGTTTGAAGATGAATAATTATTCCGGCAATTTCAAATTGTCGCAGCCTTCGCGCGCTCAGGAATTCCTCTAGGGGAAAATTCTAGTGCTTTTCACAAAAATTTCTGGGGATTCCCCTATTTTTATCTCCCTAACAGTCAAATTAATTATAATAAAATAATAATTAATTCGTAATGATTATATAATGAAGAACGGAAAAGAATGAGACATGAAGTCATGAACGTCGATTTAATTCAGAGAAATTCTAAAAAAAAAAAATTGACATTTATCTTTCAGAATCGATACCACGAGGGTTTCTGGAGTGCCATGAGAATTTTTGTACGGCCAGTGGCAGGTGTCATGGCGTGTCTATTAGCTCCAGGCTGTCTTGACAGAACACCAGTCTCAAAGACATGACCCCTAGCTGCCAATTCAGCAGCTGCATCCAGGCCAACCTTCGAGACAGCTCCACCCCTAATCAGTTGTCTCGTGTGATCATCCCTTGCAGCATCTCTTCCACGAATTCCCTCTTTATCTCTGATTGTGGCGTACTGGTAAAATTCCTTCTCAGGATTCTGCCTCTTCCTGCCCCAAACGGTGTAGGGCTCTGGTACTAGTGATGGACGGGGAACAAATGGTACCTTCTCCCACGGGAACAACTCACGTTCCTAGAAATTTCAGGGATTTTTTTCGTCATTTGGAAATTTCCACCTCCTCTGGATCATTCTGGCGTTCTCGGGTATTTTTATCCGATTGTCTTCCACTTCCACACCAATACCTCCAACTGCCACCGAGATTTTAGGCCGATGTCCACCCGAGATTTTTTACAACGGGAATTCCTTTTTTTTTTCTTTTTGACGGGATTAATTCCGACGACTCTCGGAGAATTCGCTGGGCAATATTTATGTAAATGTTAAGAAACAATTGTTGGGAAATGCTTTATGAGAATCCCAAAAAAATTTACTGGAATAGCACTAGAATTTTTATGAATATAATTGCAAATTAGCCATTTTTTAAAACAATTCCCCGAAAATTATCCATAATTATCTGATTAAATCAGAGAAAACCATTTTTCAAATATTTCATTGTTTAAAAAAACAAGGCATTACATAATTTTCGTAAAATCCATTCATTCGTGAATAGACTAATTAAAACAATAATAACTAGTAATTTTTAAAGAATTAATCGAATTCGAAAATAATTGAAAGCCTGAAAAATTCCCAAGTACCTGATCCGCATACCCCCCTCCCCTTCCCCCAATTATAATTATTCCAAACTAATTAGATAGATAGTGATGAATGAAAATCAGCGAGCAATAATTTTATCGAGCAGTTAAGATTAGAAAAAAATGTTACACAGGCTGATGGCTCATACTACTTTTATATCCGGAACTCCCGGAGTCTCTGCCAAAATATTTTCTCATTGCACTGACGATTCATTCCATTGACGTACACCTGACGTTACGATTCTATAAATTAATGACGGACTAGTCACTCTTATTTGCAATTTTATTCCCCACAATTCGTTGAAGAAAATTGGAAAAATAGATCAACGAAATTTTGACTAAAATCCACTGGTAATTAGCGCAATGGAAAATCATTACTTTTGCCAAGTAAATTTACTGACGACAAATAGTAATAATATTAATAATAATAAATTATTATTATTATTATTATTATTATTATTATTATTATTATTATTATTATTATTATATATTAATAATATATATTTCGATGTGAATATTCCTCTGCATCAATTTGTGCCAAATAAATTTACCGAGTAATAAATAAATAAAATAGATTGATTCAGTAGGCGAATATCTTTTTTTTTTTTTTAGAAAAACGAATTTATTTACTGAGAAAGAATCTCGGGATTTGCATGTATGAATTTACGCTGACGTACATATGAAACGTATGTGTACCAGAAGGTGGGGGAATGGAGCGTCGGGACGCCCTGAGTCTAAATTAGGGCAGCGTAACGCAACACCGACGCCAGTACGTGACCGACGCCCTCCCACCACCCGATCATTACATGAAAATTTTATTTTCTCCATAAAATCACTGACTAAATAATTCCCTTTCAATTAGAAAAAGAAAATCATTTCCCTCTCGCACTTGGAAAAGTGTTTACATTGGAATGAAAAATCTCTCATATTTTCTTCGTGGAATTCCGTGGAATTTTATTCTCTTTTTATTTTCTTTAGGATTTTAATTACACATTATCTTCCTATAAAACTTGTGATGAAAATCTTCATCGGATAATTAAAGAAGAATTTCTCAGTTGAAGATCGTGAGGAATTTAATGAGAAAAAAATTGTTTGAGGAATTCTCTGTCTAGGAATTTCTGGATTTTGGGCGGAGACAGGAATTTATGGAGAAAACATGGCGATCATTGAATCCTATTGGTTGGGGGAATTCCTTCCTGAAATCGTCAGGAAATCCTCAGGAAATCTCACGAATTTGTAATTGACAGAAGAATGACGCGTCATTTTTAAGATCATGAGGAATTTAATGAGAAAAAAATTGGTTGAGGAATTCTCTGTCTAGGAATTTCTGGATTTTGGGCGGAGACAGGAATTTATGGAGAAAACATGGCGATCATTGAATCCTATTGGCAGGGGGAATTCCTTCCTGAAATCGTCAGGAAATCCTCCGGAAATCTCACGATTTTTGTAATTGACAGAAGAATGGCGCGTCATTTTTATCATCACGAAAAGTTAATCGATTTCTGGATCTACATGAATAATCAGAAGATTTAAATTATTTTCATTAACAGAAGAGTGATACGTAATTTTTCAAAATCATCACAAAAAGATTGATTTAATTTTTCAAATATGCGAATGCGCGGGAAAATTCCTGTCGAATTTGAATTCGTTTTTAATAATATTCTATTTTTAAAGGGCCTTCTAGTGATTTTGAGAATTCTTCTTCAGAAAATTCTGGAATCTCGAGTTTATTCAGCATCACAGATCCGTGGATATTTTTTTCGTCTTATTTTCTAAGTATAAACATTTCACAGTCCCGGAAAATGGCTCTGCAGCTCGGAATAGTCGTAACTATGACCCCACTGCCCTCTACTTCAGCTATTAATACGTACTTTGATTTTTAAATCCTACTTTACACTCTACTTTACAAGTCCTACCATTCACACCCATCGCCTGGCCAACATGCCAATGACTTCCGGCCTCCATCCACTTTTTTTCATCGCGAGAAAAATTTTATTTCCACCTTCAACTGAAATTTCAGTTGTTGAATTATTATAAATAAATTCGGAGGCGGCACTCGGCCAAATATCGCTGTTGTCCTCTGAATAGGCACGTGTGTACTGTCATATGATAATTCTGGGCCAAATATTACACAAACAATTATGATAACCCTCGAGTTTTTTACTCCCACGTTGAAAAAATTTTGTGCAAAATTACTCCCACGTCTGGTGATTATTTTTTCTCTGGACATTCCAGTAAAAATAAAAAATTCAGATGATTTTTTGGAAATAGCAATATTTTTATCAGAGAAATTGTCATTTTTACCGCAGCGTTGGGAAATATTTCCTGACCGGAAATGTTGCAGTCATTATTTCTCATCGTGAAAAATTCTTTTGCAACATTCAATTTATGGAGATGAAAAACACAGAAAATGGCTGACGGGCCCCGCGATGTCATTGGGACTCCGTTACACAAAGGGATATTCATTAATTAAAATGAATTAATTATAAATATGAATGTTGATAACAATTCACTGGAGAGGATTCATTTGTTTATAACAGACAAACTCCGCTGTCTCCAATAAATTCCAGAATATTCACCACGAAATCATCTCCACTGTCAATAAATTTTTATCAACATTTAATTTTTTTTTAATGTCAGTATTTTTTTAAACATTTGAGAAATGAAATCGAGTCATCAAATGGTTTTTGGTGATAATTATGAGAAAGACGAGGGAATCCAATGTTTTATTTAATAAAAATATTCGACAATTGTATAAAATAACAATAATAAAACCGTGTGAGACACCGAGTACACGTTTTTTATTTCAATGCAGAATAATTGTTTAAAAAAATGAGTAAATAGTGGTCGGAGTAAAGTGTGGAAGTTGAGACTTTGCGAGACATTTCCGAATCCATTTGCCAACACAAATTTATTATATAAACAATAATATCGTATTTATTGTATATTATGTTTCAAGATTTGTTGACCAACGGAATTGCGGTGGTGATGTTTTTTTGTGAGTAACATTGAACGCTGCGGAGTCAATGTTTCGCTGTATTTATTTAAACAATTGGATTTGCGAGAACGCCTTTACGATCCTTTTACACAGTCTTACAAGAATTAAGCGAAAAGCTGATTGTCATTACGTGCATGGCTGTTATTATTGCTAATTATCATAATTCAATGATAATTTATAATAATTTCGTTCGTTATGAATATCTGGATTTAATCCGCGTGGATAAACAAATTATAAACAAATTGAGTGAAACGTTGACTCGCATTTTTAGATGGATAAATTGAAGTTACAAATTGAAATTTTTATTTTTTCTAAACTCAATGAATATTTTATTACAACTGAATAAATTTAATTTAACAAATAAAAAAAATAATTATTATCACTGATTTTTTTGTGGATGATAATTTATCTTGAATTGTTCTAGCCTATTGAACAATATTGTTTTTAAAAAATATAAATTGAAGATATTTGATAAAATTTTAAATACAGAATTTTTTTTTGTATGAAAAAATATTTTTTTATTATTCCCAAATTTTCTGGGCGTGTAGATTTTTGAATAATTAAAATAAAAATTTGGGTCAGTGTAGATGTACTGGGATGAGGTAATTAGTTGCATATTGCGTACACATTATTGTTATTGATGAATAACGGAAATGATCACTCAAGAAAAAATTACTAACCGTGATGGTGTAGTGAGAAGAAATAGGGCGGGTGTAGGGTCGTCGGGTCGTATAGAAATCGCTTTCGTAAACCATTTTCGCTTCGTTGAGGTATTGATAAAAAAAATAAATCCAAGTTATGCCGCTTTGAACAGCTGATGTTGCCGCGGTGGAAGTTCGTACGGTTCTGTCTTGAAAATCAACGAGACAAACTTTTGGTACGCGATCCAACTCCTCTACATATGCCCAACACTTTATTTTTTCCCGCCGACCAAAATCCCCATCGTCCCACCCCCTCGGTCATCTTTTTTCGTTTTTTTTTAGGGAGCGAAAATATTGCGTCAGTTGTCTGATGCATCGAGAGAAATAGAATCGTGTTAAGGTTGCACACGTCAACTATTTTTTCCCATCGTAATCATTTGTTGAGAATAAAAATTATAAATATTTATGGAAATCATTCAAAAATCATTGAATTTGAAAATTTTCTAATTTTTTTTTACGTAATATTTATCTTTTTTAAATTGTCTATCAGGATTAATAAAAAATTTAATTAATCATTTATATTTGTTTTATTAGAAATCTTAGATTTTTTAATTATTTCATATTTCCACTGCAAGATGGAAAAATTGTTGAGTCAAATGAAAAAAAAAATAAACATCGTTATTTATCAACAATTCAATGAGACTTTAGACCCGAAAAAGTGTAAAAGATCTGTTTTTAGCATTTCCCTCAAAACCCCCCTCCACTTTTTTTTCACCCTACAGTGACGCGGGAAATCTCAAGGTCAAGTAGAGCTTTAAATCTTTTATCATCGAAGAACACGCGATAAAAATCGATGGGCTGAAATTTTAGGCGGGAAAAAATTGCATTGCATTCCAGTTTAATATTGTCTAAACAATTTCCCTTTTTCTTCTTTTTTCCCTGTATGTGACATATTTTTAAAAAATCTTTAAAAGAATCTTTAGTCTTTAAGAAAACTCTTGAAAGGAAATCTTTTTTAAAAATCTGCAACTTTTCGTTAGATCGCAGGGAATTTCGAGGAGAAATAACGAGAAATAGCTATACATGAAAAGTCATTTTGGATTCAATAAAAATCTTCGTCAACACGTGATATAAACAGAGAAATGCGGTCAACATCTAAATCAACTGTTTTCATCTCGAAATTATCTCTCACCTCCTACGCAGGAGACAAATCCCCAATATCTGTGTCAATGCCACGAGAAATGTTATTCAAATTATAAAAAAACCATTGACATCTTAAATTCATTGATTATTATCAACAAATGGATTTATTTGAATTGCAAAATCTATTTCCCCCACAAAAATTCATCATTAACAAATGGGGACTCCAACAATTCTCCGTTCCGACTCCAATAATTAATAATCATTAATTATTTTTAATATAAAAAAGATGAATAAGTACCAGTGATTAGTGATAATTTTTCGTGTGAAATTAAAATTTTTCTGGATTTTGGAATTATTGTAATTTTTTGAAAAATCACTGCCGAGTTCTAGGGAATAATCTTCCAAGGAAAATAATAATTGGAATGAATGGTAAAGAACTCATTAACCCATTAATTACTCAAGAGAATTCCTCGCATTTTCCGTTCGATATGCGGAGGACGATTCGTCGAGGCGGAATTTATTTAAAAATAAATCTCTCAATGTCGAGTCCTCAAAATAGTTCAAAACTGCGACCTCCCTTCGCGCTCAGGAATTAATATTTTTGTAATTACGTCGGTAATGAAGGGATTTATCGCGATGCAATTGTCATCTTGCGGTGGAACATGGAAATGCGAGAAAGTGTCAACGATTTTTTTGTTTTCAAAACACCGGAGGTGAAGAGGAGCAATATTACTTGTCCATCTTCAATTATAATGTTGTGTTTAATTTTTTAAACCCTCGGATAATTAATTGGCTTCGATAATTCGACGAATATGTCTCAACACGGGGCTGCACTGCAGACTTATAATCAGGAGCTTGTGAAATGTGAGTAAATTACAGCTTAACCTCTAATTTATATTTTTTAACTAATTCAGGAGTGAAAGAGTCAGAAAAAAATTAATGCACTCTTTATAAAATTCGTGAGATTATTTATAACAATCGTCAATTAATATTTCAATTTCATTCGAGCAGTTTTTTTCAAATTGATATGAATTCATTGGAACGAATTTTTTAATTTTTAATTCAATTATTTATCAATGGGAAATGGATCTTTTTGAAAATTCATTCACATGTGATAATTTGGGTTTTAAACTTCTTGTGAAAATTATTAGACCAGAAAAATTAATATATCATTTTTGGAGTCTGTGTAGGTTTGGAGAATATGAAATTACGGAGGGCTGAATTGCAAACGGAAATCGACACACAGGAGGAAGAGAAAAATAATTTGCAGAGGGAAATTGAAAAAATGTCGTACAAATTGACACGAATCAATGAGAGTCTTGGGAAAAGAGTTGCTGTCAGAAATGAATACGATCGAACGATTGCGGATACAGAATCTGCTTACATGAAGGTGAAGAAAATTTGCTCAGTAACTGCTTCAAATGAATGTAATTAACAATAATTAAAAAAAAAATCTAATACGAATGGTTATTAACATTTCTAGATCCTCGAGAGCTCCCAACTCCTTCTAAATATGATAAAACGTGAAGCAACAACTTTGGACCAAACCTTCATAAAAGCCAATGGTGATAAACATAGACAACAATAACAAATCGTATTCTAGAAAATTATTTATTAAAATATTGATCACAGCAGTAGAGACTGCCTCGACTGATTGGAGATTCAATCCAGTACAAACTTGTAAATATCACTAGACATATTTTTATAAATAATTACCTCGACCTGCTGAATGATTATTGGTTCTAAGAGTACAGAATTTTCTTTTCAATCCTCTAAGAATAATATATCTAACAACAATTTTATACTGATTAATTATAACAAAGTCTGGTGTCAGATGAATCAGCACTGCCATAATAGGAGAATAATACCATAACGGATGAATAAATTTTACTGTATAATTAAACTTGACATTTATAAATTGCTCGTTACTCCGCAAAAATATTTCACACTAATTTATATATAAAGATTATACCGTGCAGACAATGATTGCATAAATAAGGCGATCACAAAAAAATTCAAGACCAACTTCCCTTTGTCATTTTTTAATTCTATGGAAGAAGTTTACTTGCACAACCATCAGCTGAAATAATAACTTAATTGAGGCCCAGTTGCATTGCAAATAATTATTCAAAATTATCTGTGTTCCTTCTACACTACATATCCTTAAAAAAAAATAAAAGAAAAATAATGCAACAGAGTCTCAATAACAAAGAGTTAAAAGACAACAAGTTGACTCATTTCCTAGTCAAGATTTCGAGGAATATCTCTGAATTCAATCGAGAAATCGAAATTTTCCCCAAGACCATTTTTGTAGAATAAAATGAGAGCTGCAAAAAAGATAGGGCAAAAAATTTTGTATCTCTTCTGGATCCAAAGATATTCCTCGAAATCTCCCAGAAAATCAACACCAACTCGTTTTCATCAACTCCTGGCCCCAGGATGAATTTCCCTCAAGCATTTCCCATGCCCTTCTGCTCATTCCATATCTCCATGAGCTCCTCAGGGTTCCCATACCCATGAGAAGAAATAACGTACTTATAATTAAATTTAGTGTAATCCTTCTTATAAAAATGGAACTCATCACAGTGGAAGGGCTCGATGTCAGCTTTTTTGGCAACAAGTCCCAGGAAGATATCATCAAACCTGAAGTGCTGGGTATACAAACTAGTGAGATACATCTCGATCATGGCAGCCTTGGAGAGTACATAAGCCCCAGCAGTAACATACGGTGGCCACAAATGGAATGGATATTCCTCGAGGGAGACATACCACTTGGAGGTCTTGTGTCTGTGTGGAGATGATACAAAGACATACCCAGCGAACAGTTTAACGTCATCAGGCAGTTCAAAATCGAAAACTTGACGACGTCCCCTTGTCAGCTTCTTATATACCGTCGAATTATTGAATTTATCCTCCAAATCATCAACTCCCTTTAATCCATCACCACTAGGCATTCTGGTCTTGTTGTGCCTCGTCCAGCCCTCCCTTCGTCTCATAAGAATCTTCTCCCGAGCATTAGCCCTCGGATTCCTCACTAAATCCTTTGGCACCTCCTCAACTTCCCTCTTAACTAATCTATTCGGATCCTTCAGATACTCCGGGTAATACGCAGGATTTCTGATGAACCTCAGAACATTCTTCACAGACACGTAGATATCGTCGTCCACAAAGAAATAAAACTTGGAGTTCCTGCAGTGATTGTACGCCCATTTGAATCCAATCATCGTTTTAATTGTGTTATTATAATAGGAATCAATGAAATTCGCCTGCAAAATGTCTTTATACGTTTCCGCCTCCTCGTCAATCTTCTTCTGGAGCTCGTCATCCCCTTTGTGAAGTCCCAGCAAGAAAATAGTTCTCGTTGGCACGTCGAAAAATCGTTTTTTGAATCCCCAGGTGCTCCTTATTGCCACACGCCTCTGGAAATGCTCCGCCGAGGATTTCACCAGAAATACAATCCTCAGACTTCGAAAATCGTTTTGGGTGTTGCAGAAATCCTTGCAATCGTGGATGTAGCTGAAGTTGTAGTCGTTGATGGGATCGACATTCGGCTTTTTCCGGTGTTTTATTGAGTCGATGAAGCCGTGGATGTCACCCTCGTAGGGGTACTTGAAGTATTTGTCGTAGGAAAGCTCGAAGACGTGGGTAAAGGCTCCGAAGACGTCCAGCAGGAAAAGAGTCACCAGAAGCAGAAGGACGTGTTTTAGTTTTATCCTGGAGATCATCCTCAGACACTGCTGACTGCAAGGGTCCGGTGGGGGGATCATCTCAAGACTTTTTCATCGTTTAGTTCACATAATTTCTGGAGTGAAAATCATGCAGTAATTCACTGCTCCAGTATTAATAATTTTTATTGAATCCAGTCGTTTGCTAATCTAAAATAATGGAAGGACGATCATTAGGGGATTAGGACCATTTAGGTACTAAAATAAGTGCAATCTTAATCAATTTGGAAAATCTAAGGGTGTGGTACCTTGAACTTTCCCACGTGCCAGTTATTTTCACTCGATTTTAATTTCTTTCAAACTTGTCAATGAGAATCAAGACTTTTTTAATTTATTTATTACTTCTCCTTATTTTTTAAGCGTTAACAATTGAAAATTGACTGTCACATAACCTCAACCTGCAAAATATTTAAACACTAATAAAATCCGTACATGAAATTCCTTGAATTATCAACATTGACACGTTTATTATAAATTATTTCCAGTGAATTTGTTAGGTATTAATTAAAACCCATTACGAGGGTAAACAGATGATTCACAGTTGAATCTCCGGCATTTAAATAATCTCTCGAAATTTAAATGCCCGCCATCTTGCGAGTAGGTCACGAACTGGCGGGAAAAGCTAGTCAAAATAGTTGTCAAACGTCATCAATAAATTCACAGGATCAATTGTCGGGAATTGATCGTCACCTTGTGCCAATAGTCTGGAAAAAATTGGACAAATATTTTGGCAGAACGAGCGATGACATCTGGGTGATGATGAAAAGTTCAACGACCCCGGGGTAATTGTGACAAGCCGAGGCAACCGGCCATGTTTATATCCGAGTGAATTTGAGAGTCCTGGGCTGAAGGGGGCCTTCACTAAATTAAAGGGTGAAGGTATATTATTGAATTTATTAACCAGTGATTTCAATCGCATCGATATCGGAAATTATCAGTGAAAAATTGTGGAACGAGCCACTCACCATGGAGACCAGCGAGAGAGGTAAATAATTTTTTTATTTTATTTATCGAAATGTAACAATATTGAGGGATTGACACAAATCGTGGGGCTCAGGGCAATGGCAGTGTCAGGGTCGAAACGAATCTAGTTCAGTGACCGATTTTTTTTTTTGCAAATCATTGAATATCATTCACTAAAACGTCTCATTACCGAAGAATTCAAATCATTAGTTACTTACTGATGAAAACAGAAAGATTTTTTCAGAATTGTTGGAGTAATTGGCATTGAATTTTATCTGTGTCATGCAGGTCTATTTATCACTGGGAAATTCACTCGAATACAATTCAATTTAGCCCTGGGAATTAGATATGGAAAGAAGATTATGAATAATTAGTGATAACCCAGTGATAACCCTTATTATCACGGGGTCAGTTTTTTTATTATTATTTATTGAAGGGATTTTCAATGAGGGAAATTATTTATGGGCTTGTAGTTCCTGGGAGTCTCTCATTACCGAAAATCAGGGGAACATAAAATGAGGGCAGAGCAATGTGACAGCGAGAAGCACGTGAAAATAGTCTAAGTTATATATTACATATATCGTGCAATCAGTGATTGTAAAGTGGCGACACCTGTCGTCCAGATTTCAGGTCCAAGATCGAGACCTCAGGTTTACGATTTATCAGCAATCTCCATCGTAAAGGCCATTTTCCGCATGAAAAAAAAATAATTCAAAGAGACTTCAAATGTCCTGAAATATCTTAAATCACTCAATTTAATTATTTAATCGTTACATTTTTAATTATGCATAATATATCAGTGAGAAAATGATAAAGAAAAATAAGTCGAATTCAATATTTTTTATTATAATCCCCCTATATCGAAAACTATCGATTTAAGAGGGAAACACAAGAGGACTTTTTTGTAGCTCATTGAATTTCGGAGAAAAAAAGTCTTTTCTCCTAAAATTAATAGTTCTAGATATCCAGTTCGATTTATCTCGTTTTGTTGATGAATTTGAGGAATATACACTGTGGGCCGTTTTTTATTAAAATTGGAATACAATCTTCATACAATTAATGAATAAATATTTTCCCTCGTGGGATATATATAGCATGTGCATAAAAATTGATGCACATCTATAAATTTTATAATTTTTGTTTGCCTTTTTGTTTCTGATAATTAAGTTAACTTGCAAATTAATGTTTCGATATATTTCGAATTTTCATGTTGTCGTTAGAAATTCTCGTTTTTTAAACTCCATCTCCCTTTTATTCCCTCTCATTCCCTCGTTATATAAGTCCAAGGTCGTATCCCAGCGTTTCTCGCATACACGAGGAGAAGAGAGATAAAAAAAATAAATCTCCAACGTGCGCTTGCAGTTTGCTGCTATTTTATACTCTCGGTGTATAACTCTCCCTTCCCATCCACAGCCGGTTATAGCACCGAATAACTGCTGTGTTGCATCTTAAATATGAACATTATTGTATCCCCTCGTCATCGGGATGAATATTTGACGAGTTTATCGCGTGTAGACCAAACAAACTGCCATTTTCCGTGACATAATTATTTCCCAATCCAATTAATTCCCAAAATTGTCATTTAATTTTCACAATTGTTCATCTCATTAATTCTCCAAAAATGCAATTTTTTTCTTATATTCCCACATTTCAGCAAAATTCATGTAGGAGACACAATATTTTACGATTATTCAATTATTTGACTCGATCTTCCATTTATTGTTAACAATTAAACTTTGGTTAAAGATTCGATATAATATAAGCTGGATTGGCTGTGGTATATTTAATGTTGCTTGCTCGAGAGTTCGTCTCCAAGTGTCCTCGGTCACCAATTCGTCCAGGG